ATACATATGCAAATACATATACATATGCATAACTTTTGGCGATTAATATTAACTTAAATACCTGACACTGTCGGGTTATTCTAAGTGTTTTCACATTGTTTCCCATTCAAATATGTAAATATGTAAACTGTTTATGTACTTATGTAAACTATATCAGCTTTAAGGCACTAGTGCTGTTATTTGATCAATTCAGTGGAGCCATGCGTAACAACTCAATTAAATCAATTAGTGCGAGACAGGATGAGAGCTGGACAGTGTTCTGTTGTCCGCAAATTTGTAAATGTCCAATATTCTGTTTGAGTACTTTGTGTGTTTGTATTTGCGGCCAACTGTAGGCTCACTGAGTCGGACATTCGACTTATATATCTGTGCAGTCGGCTGTTGTTGGCTGTCTAATCAACACTTTATGACAGAGGATAACGATTCAATGATGAGTTGTCACCCTTGCATGTAAGTAGTGGATTTTCCCATGAAATGGGGTTTATTTTAAAACAATTTTTCAAAATTAAATTTGGCGTAAAGTCTGAATAGTTTAAAAAGCGGGAGAAAAGTTGGGAAAGTTACTAAAAAATTTAAATAGAACAAATTTCTTTTGCATGTTTTGCCTAATAACATAGAAGCAGCGACCTAACACAAGTGTCCTTCATTTGTGGTTGAAAGAATGAAGAGATGTGAATAAAAAAACAAGGCAAACTTTTCCAATCTCTCAGGAGCTGTCGCATTGTGCAAGAGGACTCTATAGAAAGCTGCCTGGCAGCTGATGAGGATGATGAACACATTAGGAAAATAGCTTTACATTAAAATACACATTTTATTTATGGTTTTTATATATCCGACTTTATTTTAATACAATCCGCAATAGAATTTCTATGTGAAATTGATTATTCCATAGTCTCTCGTTTTATTTTTGATGGCTTTTTATGGCTAAAGAAATGTAAATTTGCATTTTTATGATTTAATTTTCCAAATGCATCTCAATCAGTAGGAAATAGTCAATTTTTATGGCAACCAAGCTTCCGGAATATCGTAAAAAGTGAATAAAAACTTTAATTTCGATGTATTTATGCGAGGAATGTGCGGCTATTTGTACTAAATAAAATGTTAATTTTACCAGAGATAAACACACTAATAAGCAGTATTAGGCATTAACAAATATAAAGAAATATATATTAACTTGATGAAAATAATTTTATTAAACATTTGCTATCTTAATATGGTTTGCAGTGTATTCTTGGTTATTCACTGAAAATGTTTCTTGCAGTGTTCCCTTCCGTTGCTTCTTTGCACTTTACCGTTGGTTATTGTGCTCTGCTTATACCATCGCCATGCACGCACCGTCTTGCCCACTGTCTGTCTCATAGTTGCGTTGTTGTTAGTGTTAGAGAGAGAGCGAACATGTTTAAGGACAGATCAAAAGAGAGACGGTAAATAGAGATCATCTGCCGCAAGCTGCTTTGCTAGAGAGAGATAGATGAATCGAGAGAGAGCTTCAAGCTCTATCAGCTGCAGACAATGAGAGTGAGAAAGGGATGGTTGTCGATGCTCTCACTGCGTGATGCAATCATACATTTACATTTAAATAAATAAAGCAGGTAACTTCACAGCTCACAAATCACAGACATTAGCTGTCGCTTGGGGAAATACCAGATTATCGGCTTATCTTCGCACCCACGGACTCGTCTTTCTGGGGCAGCCATCAGCCAATGGATGTTTCGGTTAAAGCAAATTGCGCTGCAAGCACACATCTTTAATCAGGACGACTATCTTATGTGTATATTCCAATTTTAAATTTGCCTTCGATTCGATTTCCCTGTGGTCCCTGTGTGACGTAAGTAATTTTATTGCTGACTTTTGATGGCATACAAAGGCAGCTCCCGTTCCCTCCTTGTCGATGCTTTTCCAATCGAAAGCAAAGCATTGAACGGAGAACGTTTCCGTTTACCTTTGCGAAAGAGCTTTTCTCTGCCAATGAAATTCGAAGTTGTGGCAGTGGAATTTTCCTTAGATCTGCATAGATACCCATTTCACTTGCATGGAAGCCAATTCTAGCCAATTGCCCTTATATTCGATATCCATATCATTCATATCCTTTTGAGTTCGGTTTCCTGTCGTGCTGCGGTCGAAATGCAATTGAAATCATCTGACGTCTGAGCCAAAATTGTATTTTTTCAACAGCAGGAGTTCGTTTGTTCGTATGTGGACACAATTAATCAAACATGAGCCCACAAACGAGAGGACAAAAACACGGAAATGTTCAATTCAATATTTCAACCCAAACATGTTTCCCACAACCACAAACAGCCGGCGCCCAATATTAAGTTGATAAGTGTAAAGGCCAAATCAAATGTCGAATCAAATAAGCGAATAATGAATTAATCGCTGGAGCAGTTGTGACATCAGAATTGAGTCAAGCGGAGTATAAATACAACAATTACGCAATCGTATTGTTCGAATGCCACAACATCGACAGTTGAGAAACAATTTCGATCTACGAATTTTCCATATAGAAGTGCTCTGGGCAATCCTCAATTTAAGGCTTCCACTTTTCTAATACAAAAGCAAGCTAGCTCATACTATATTCTATCGACTTTTTGTCCTGCAACTGTGCAGAGCATCCAAACTGCACATCAGGCATATCTGTGGTGGGACAAAAACCCTAATGGCACCTCTGGGAGATAGATAGCTGACCTCGGGGTTGGCACAGAAGCAGCACCGGACTGGGCGAAGGTTCTCGAAATTTGTTACTCATGTGGGGAAACAAGAAAGTTAATTACTTCCAGAAGCGGCAAATGGAATTTAATTAATATTTTTATACATTTTTTGGGCATTTACCGGCACTGGCCTGTGTCTTCCGTGCCTTTAAGTGAAATCAAAGAGCAATCATTGCAAAAATAAATCTTCTAAGGTGTCACTTTTGTTGACCATTTTTGACCCATTCATTGTGTACGTGATGTGAACCTCCTATCAAATGTCCATCACTCCATTGCACGTGTCGCTACCATAACCCCAGGGGGTCAAAAACATACAAAAGCAAAGCAATCCTTGCCTAAAACTAAATGCATATTTTCATTTCCATTATGAATGTGCATTTTTGTGTTACATTTATCGCTACATTTATCTGGGAAAAAATATTCGCGCGAACAACTGTCACCGAAATGAATTATTTCGCTCGACTTTTATGTGTCCAGAACTTTGGGCTGTCCATTTGTCACACGTTTTTGCTTTTTGTTTCTTTTTGCACATAAAATTGATAAACGACAGGGGCTAGTGTGGATTTTAGCCGCTGCACCGCGGTGGTCAATGTATTTTTGATCACTTCTTATTATCAATTCGAAGCGTACGAAACTGCCGTTTTATTGAATTTCTCTTACTCTAGAAGTAAAGGTTAGCTGCTTTCATTATTCATAGCTGTTGTACCTGCACACAGTCTAGCTGCCGATCAATCATTCATTCGATATTGCAATGATTGACAGCTTGAATATTTTTTTTGGGAAAACTCCATATGAACCTTCATAAAAATGAATTGCAAAAAATGTGCAATAAATTGTTGGACTTGCACTGAAATGCACCACCACTGAGGTCTTCCTTTGAAAAGGTTAATTGTGTCTTTCAAATGTCTTTGGCCAACCACGTGCGTGGCTTACGTGTTTGGTTTGCCAAACAAAAGACTGGAGAGGATAAAAGCCACAAAAGACTTGCCACAAGCAACACGTTCTGTTTCATTTTCTAAGGACAGGAAAAATGCTTTCGATCTACGTGATGCTTGTCCCTCTTCGGAGTCAGAGGTACATTTAATGCGTGGAAAATTGCTTTATTTCTATTACCTTTTTGATGCAGTAATTCTTTAGAGAAGAGTAAATTTAATGTATCTACACTTACGTTCTTTAAGATGACTACTTTAATGTCAGAAATGTTATGGAAAAACTTTAAACATTAACAACTTTTATTCGACTTCCAGTTGACTTTTACTTTATTTTAGTGTGAAAATCGACTTGGAGGGCTACTTAAATGAGAGTTGAGTGCCAAGAAGCAACTTTTGAAAGCGTAAGAAGCGACATTTATTTAAATTTTCTTATATTTTTAGTCCATTTTGATGTGTGGGTTAATATAAATTTCAAATAATGCAGAACAAGGTTGGATGCACGAATATCAATTTCTGGAAGCCAACAGGTCAACTCATCTCTTTGGTTACCTGATTACCTATGCGGCTCACGTGTTCATCTGAGGCCCGTACATCACTGGATTTGTTAACCCCAAATTGCACGTTTATTATCTTTGGGTGTGCCCCTTGAATAACAATATCCCATAACCCGAAAAAGGGAATAATTCAAATGCGCCAATTCATCAGCTTCATGGCTCAATACCTTTTTATTTGCCTCAATGTTTCTATTGGAAAGTCCCTCCTCCAACGCCCACCCTTATGGCATACGCGTAGGTGGAGCATATCAAATTTATGCCCATTCGGTTACCGATTCCCCCTCCAGCATCCACCATTATTAACGTAAATCTTTCCTGGGAGGCGCATACGCAACAGGAAGCGGAAACGACAATTTGTCAATTGTCTGCATCAACATTTTCTGGCATAAGATTTATGTCAGCCAAGATAGCGCGGATACGCGAATGCAGATTTTATTTGTGGGGAATACAAACTCCTAAGGCGCTGTTTTTATTGATGGCGAACATTTACTCGAAAAAAAACCTCCACATGTAAGTGGCGCTTTGTCATCAAAGTAATAAATAAAGTAGCAAACGGGGAGTCAAGCAGGAACAGCTAGCCGTAAGATGTTTTTGCAATAATAGAAAATAACTCAACTCTGTTTGTGTGGGTTTTTCTTGCTTTTTGCAGTTCTCAACCTTAACAAAGCAGCTTTCAAAATGATGCATTTTATGGAGCATAAACAAAGCCTAAGTGGGCCATAAATAATTTTCATTTGCTAAATAAAGTAGTTTAAAGTGCTTACAAAAGCCAAAGATGTTGCAATAGGAAATACAACACCCAATGGAATAAATTAAATCTTTATTTGTGCTAAAATGGAAGCAGCAGCTCGCACTTATGGACACATAAATTAAGCAGTAAACACCTAAAGCTGTAAATGAACTAAAAAGAAAGAGCTAATGGATATGCAAATACAAAACTAATGAGCCTTGGCCTTGTAGGTGACTTTCCAAACCTCAAAGAGGCAGATCGTGGAATGGAATCGATAGAAAATGGCCAGCGGCATGGATATGTGCGTAATGATCGTCCAGCCCCAGACGCCAAAGAACTCCAAATGGGATTCGCGGAACACGGCGCGACCCTTGATGAGGGTATTCACGAACCAAATGGCAATATTGGCCACCAGCAGAAACGTAATGATCTCTCGTCCTGGCTTCCGGCGCACCTGCTTGGCGCCCTTGCAACGCCGATGGCTGGCATGGAGGATGAACATGGTCTGCAGGGAAGTCTGGACCACGCCGAACACCTCTGCGATGATGCCCTCAACGCGATCGGGCACGGTATCCCATTTGGCAAAGTAGCTGCCCAATATGCTGAACAATCCGTACAAGTAAACGCCCGTCTGGGCCACAATGAGCAGAAGATTGTCCAGGTCCATGGAGTGGTGCTCGTCGCTGGTGTCCTTAATGTAACGCAGATCGCGCATGAGGAACATGCCTGAAAGGGCACAGAGTAGAGCTAAAAGTGTCTGAAAAGCGAGCTGAATGTTAATTCCCTTACCCGTAATCACAGCTGCAGCGCACATAAAGTACATGAAAGTCTCCCAGAGAGTCACTTCCTGAGTGGCGACCAGCTCATAGCCCGGCTGGGAGTACAGCACAAAGTACATGATCATGGCGATGATTGTCATCACAATGATCAGAATGCCGAAGAAGAGACCCTTGTGGGACTGCGAGCAATCGACGGAGAAGTGATGGGCGGGCTTCTGGGCCACAGGCTTGACGGAGTTCTTGCGCGTCTTATCTATATCCGGTATGGATTTAACAGTCTTCCACATCTCGTACAGGATCACAGCGCAGATCAGCGAGTACTCAATGGTGCAGGGAAACAAGAATGGAGACAGCTGCTGCACCAAGGCACCCATAATTGTGGTGCGAGAGCAGCCCGTGAAGGCCGCAGGTGTTGGCGATGGACTCGCCGTGACGTTGGCTATGATGGAGCTCACATTGGCCATAAGAGTATGATTTACAGCCAAGTGTGCCTTCTGGTGATGCATTGATTCATTCATCGCCGACCAGTTGGGCAGGCCATGGGTGCCATTGTGCATGATGGGGTCGTGGTCTGGATCAGCATCGTGGTGGCTGATGTGAAAGATCTCGTGCTTGGTTTCCTCAACCAGAACGTACAGCCACTCGCAGAGGTTTGTGGCCACCATGTGCATAAGTCCGAACCGAGAAGTCACTTTGTGTCTCGCCATGTCCATGAAGGTTGTGTTCAGGAAGATGAACTGCACCTGCGCGATGCACAGAACCATGCGGCAGATGGGTGTGATGGCCACAAACACATCCCGGCAGCCTGGATGTCCATTCAGCTCAAAGAACTGACCAAACTCCAGCCCAGAGTAAACCATGGTGCCAATGGCAAAGGCAATGGCACCGACTCTTAAGTAAAAGCTCCCAAAGTGCGTGACCTTATGCTTGAGGTGTACATTGCTGTTCTTCTCATCTGTGAAAGGAATTTAAATGTGGGAAAACGCATTCTTGGGACATTCTGCTCGTTCTTACGAAAGTCTTTGAGAGCATTGAAGAGCGATCGATTTCGAAAGGCACTGATGTACAGGAAGATGACAAAGAGTATGCTGCCCACATACAGGTAGACATAGAAGCCCTGATACACATAGGTGGGTATTTGTTCCGAAATAACCTCCGTGATGGGCAGACACACGCCCAGCAGGACCAGCAGCTTGCAATATGTGGCCGAGAGCGCTGAACTTATGGCATCGCTGTGGAAAGAGTTTATTTGTGTTCAATCTTTAAATTACGGATAGCTAATTACTTTCCCGTGCGACGATTCTTTTCCTTTTGCTGCTTGGCCTGATAGCCTTTTGCGCCATTGTCAAAGAACGCTGTGGATCCATTCCTGGCACTTGCCGTGCCGCTCTGTAGATTGATGGTCGCTGTGCTGCCACTGGCTGTGCTTTGCAGATTACTGAAAGGACAAAACAAACTAATTAGCTTCACAAAGAGCACGTTCAGCTGTGGAGGGGAGCAATTATTATAAGCTAGAACACGCATTTGTACCCTTTGGCAGCACGCGGTGAGAGGAATCCGTTGCCATCTTTGCGCCCAAATAATGGTGGTCGCTGCGTGAGAATCTCCTGCAGCAGCAGCGATGGCCGCCGCGAGACCTGAAGGGTACACGCAGAGTCGTCGCGGTGGAAGCCAATCGTGGGCATTGGCAGCAGGGCCTGCCGTTGACTGGCGTGCTCCACCACGTCTAGATTCGTCTGGGACTTCGCCAGCGGCGAGATCGGATGGGGCGACATTACGGGTATGCTGTGATGTCCACAATGGTCGCACGAGGTGCGGGCGTAGCGGATGACTTGGTTCGAGGTGGCGGCTGCAGAGTGCGGCGGTGTGCCCGGCACCGAAGACGGCAGCGAGTTGGGCGGCAGACGTGAGAAAGATGCCGATTTGTTGGGCGCACTTATGGTAATATATTCACACACATCGGTGGGTATGTGCTGGCTGTGGTGGGATTGAAAAACTTGTTACAAGGCGAGTCAGGAGCAACGCTTCCTGCAGTGGCACACCTACATGAGCTGAAATACTCGCGAAAATACTGCGACAAGTTCAATGTTCCCCGCTCAACTGATTCCACCACGGACATTTGACTATGGTCAACGATTTGATGTCGTTGGCCCGACCCTGAAGACAGCCACAAACTTTGATGGGTGCCCGCCTCTGATTGCTTTTTGATCGATTTCTGTCCACAAATTGTGATATTATCATGCTGTGTGTGCTGGTATCAGGGCAGCGCGTGTTCCAGAGCAGTTGTCTCATCAATCAGTAGCTAGATAAGCGCTTCTGTTTATATAAACATTAAGTGATCACGTTTTCTTTTCTTTGCACAATCAGTGTCTGGATTTTAAGCCGAGTCTTTGTGCGACGGAAAGTAAAAGACAACTGGGAGGTGCTTGTGCGAAAACCTTTTCGCAAATGGATGTTTTGTCTCAAGGAAAATAAATATATTTGAATTCTACTTGCAGTAGAGAAGCTACAAATAGTGCGAGAAATTTGTGTATATTTTATTTTATATTTATTTAGTTGCAAATAATATCAGGGAAATGAGAATCCTCTAAAGACTTTGCATTTTTCACTCAGATTAGTGAAGAATAGTTTCGTTTTCTCTTTGAATAAACAAGATTTATTTGTGTATAATTGTTATCTAATCGCTGCAATCACCACACAAAATCGTGGCTCAAGTATTAGTGTTCCACCAACACACTGACAAACTGATAGCAAAAATGCACAATGATATCAGTGAATGAGAACTGCGCGTAGATGGGTATTTTTGTATTTCTATGTGCCACTGCAGTTGCTTCTACGGGTAAATGTTACAACCGAAACGCACTTCTTTTTCTTGGCCACAACATCATCGTGGTAGTGAACGCGCTGCTTGGTTTTCCACAGGTTAATGGGCTCATCATACATGGCGCTTGATTTTAAATTGGATAATGACATATCTCAGGCACTGCGCAGTTCTATTGGATCGGCACACGGACTGGGCACTGTTTTGCTGCCGAAAAGGTCACTAGATCAGGCGCTATTTAAACCGTTTAATAGCCGAACTAGACTGCGAGTTTTGGCGAATACTGGGATCACTTTTCACAGCCTAGCCAGACCCGTGTCACTTAGGAGACTGACTCTCAGGCGGCGGCTTTTTCAATTGCCGGAGTAGCTATCGGCGAGACGATATTTGAGTAACTGATTAGCGTTGTCATTAGCTTGCTATTTTTACCAGTACGAGTACGATCTTGTGCATGTTTATGTACATCTATTGCAGCCATATTATTGGCTTAATTTATTAGCCTATTTGCACATCATCAAGCGGGCTTGAAGCTGGGCCCATGCAGCATATAGTCCGGTATACATACAGAGAGAGATCTTTGGATTTTGGCATTGCCTGCGTTTCCATGACGTTCCGACAAGCAACACCTGCAACGTCATTGCAGCCACTTGTGAATTCTCTTAATTAACATGTAAAGAGTGCCATAAACAATTGTAATTTATGTGATATTGAAGTGGCTCTCACGATCAGTCTAGACTCTAGAGAAACGTTCTGGGTAGCGGTACATATATTTGACTTTCACTGGAACACCAAGTGGTAACAGATCCGCCCGATGTGACGTCATAGATGTATTTGATTTGGCTTGTTATCACGGAAAAACTATATTCGTGAGTCATGCGATGATTAAGCGGTGAAAGTTTGTGTTTGGCAGTACCACGACAATTCCATGGTACAAAATATTTTCAAACTGGAGCGCAGGCGATTAACAACTCAACTAAAATCCAAGTAAGTTCCATAAAGTAATACATATGTAGGTACTAAATATGTACGAAAATACAAATGTTTTTTGAGTATTTTTTGACCTTGAATAAATTGAATATCTTTACCTGAAAGTAACCGTAGGCATTCTTTGGTATTCAATGGCACTGTTACGTTCCACCATTAATTTTGTCACTATATCTTTAAATGTCTCTTTTTCGCACTCTTAATATTTTCTATTATAGATAAAAGTATGCGTGTATATCGCATTTAATCCAAAGACTTTCGCTGATGTTTTATGTTTTTTATGTTATTACAGCACCCTCGAATAACATTGTGCAGATGGTAGCACAGCTCTGGAAAAACTGAAGCCGAAACCAGACATCGATTCTTATCGCTAGACTCTGTTGGTGTCTCCTAAATATTTATAATACAAACACACATTTATGTAGACCCCGCCTCCATACACGTAATTTGGTGGCTAGTTAATACCCAGATATTAGCAACGGTTACAGTTGGAAACCCTGCCCAGCTGTGGACGGAAGGTACATAACTTTTATTGCCTTATCGTGTGAGAAGTCTCCATTCCGCCCCTGATTGTTAGCTGAAGCACTCTCTTGAGGAACATTTGTTTAGGAATAAATATTAGTACTACGCTTATCAGTACATACAAACATACATTAAAATCAGTTTAGTAATATCAAACGGCGCTTCTGTTTACGCTTGTAATCAATTATTTCTGTCAATATTTGTGCCCTCGTAAGCATTCTTATTTTTATCGGATGTTCCTCCGTACACTTGAAGATATCAATAGACAACAATGAAAGACGGGCCAAGTTCATCATTAATACCAAAATAAAACTGTTCGGTCATTGGAAGATGGTTGAATGTGTGTCATCAGATTATTCGTTTAGGAACAAAGTTCAAAAGAGGCGATTTATCTGCTCCTTGCACACCCTGTACAGCTGCAGCGCAGCAAGCGCGCACGACGCACGACTCTCTCTAGTTACCGTCTCTCTTTTGATCTGTACTTGATCGCTCCCCTACGCTCGCTCTCTCTAACACTAACAACAACGCAGCTGTGAGCCAGACAGTGGACAAGACGGTGCGTGCACAGCGATGGCATAGGCAGCGGACAATAACAAACGGTAAAGTGCAAAGAAGACAACGAAAGGGAACACTGCAAGCAACATATGCTTTCGTACGCGGTAGACAGGGACAGGTATATACCTCTTCCCGGCACTTTTGTTTTTTCGTCTTGCCGATTGCGCTATGGCCAGTCTCAGCTAAAATTTACCCTGTTTAGAAACTAAGAATAAGAGGAGTCCCTTTTAAAGATCCAATGAATAAATTCTTTTCCAGCCGGCTTCCACATAGAAACTTTCCATCTATAACTTCTGAAAATGTTCAATCGATAAAGACTTTTCAGTGAAAATCTTCCCTATCTTTCTAATTGCAAGTCAAACAATAATTGCCCTTTGGCATTTTCATTTCAACAGCAAATAACAAAACTGTTATTTGAAATTTCCTTTTAAATTGTTCAACTGGAAATGGCATACCAGACTGCGAGCAAACCCGAAAAGCAAATGGAAATGGAAAAGCTTGGAAATATTTCTTTGGCTTTCTAGCTTTTTGCCTGAGGACTGCTCAGAGAGAAGTATTTGCTGAGATTTTTGTGTTGCAAGAAGAGCTAATTAAATTGTTTCAAAGTAGAAGAAACCCAAACTTAATTTGTTAAATTTTAATTTTTCTAAAATACCAATCGAGCATATTTTAACAACGGTGTACGCCAGCATATTTTTCATGTTATAGCGACAAATATATTGTTCCCAGAGCATAAGATGCTGTTAACGACGAGGCCAACCAAGAAATTTGCTAACATACGGCTGGTGATTCCTCGATTCCTATCTGTGTATAATTTGTGCGACAAAGTTAGTCATGCGAGCTCTGCCAGTTGGTAAAGCTTCCACCAGCTGTGGTCTTGCCTCAAAATATAAGCCAGAACGAGGACCGAAACCAGCACCCTGGCTGGAGCCGGAGACCACCAGCTGATAAATTTTCAAATTTGCATGCTAATGAATGGTTTGCCATGAAACTGTTGCTGCAAAGTTTTTAGCTTTAGCTTTTGGATGCATTCTCTGGTACGCTGCTGTGCGGTCGGAGGTAAAGTCTGTTCACAGATTTATCCCAGGGCCAGAAGCGCTGACACGGACGTGTTGAGGTGGCATCCTTCTCCCAGCTGAGCAGCATTAATTGCACGTCAAACTTTGAGCGGCTTCCACCATTAACGATGGACTGAAAAGACAAGAACCAGCCAAGCAAGGATTGGTGTATTTCACGCCAGCTAATTAAGAGTTGTTAACATTCTGAACAAATGCACATCTATGGCAAAATCAATTAATAATTCCTGTTGAAGAAAGGAATTTATCCCTTTAACTGTTTAATTGTAGCACTAAACTCTTTTTTAATAGCTTTTCTACATCCTTTTTATACAAGGGGTATTTTGAAAGGGGTTTCAAGAGGAAACGGCCTATTCGCTGAGTGTTTCATGCACTTATTGAATCAGTCAACTGTTGACGCATTTACTGCAGCCTCTAGGCTGCAGCCATTCAGATGGGTTTCCATTTGAGTTTCACTGCATTCCACTCCATGACGAGACCTTTTAACTCGAGACTCTATCTGCGATTAAGAGCAGATGCAGATGCAGTTCTAGTTTATTATGCAGATGGCAGTTTAAGACTTGATTACGAGAGGAGAAAAACCTACGGATTGATCATCTCTTTCTGAGACGCAAAAAAATTCCTTTGTCAAATTTATTGGCACAAGAAATTCGAAGTTTTGCTCACACATTGGATTCAATTTGCCTTTTTATAAGCGTGTAGACTTAAGCCTATTTGATGTAATTGGATTTGGCAAAGTGAATGCATAAATTGACATCACCTTTTATTTCCTTTCAAAGCTTAAAGAGCAGGGCGGAACATCAATCACAGTTCGGTGTAAGTCTTTCTTCATGATTGAGTTATTGGCTATAATATAGACTTGGGTTTTAATACGGTAACATCGACAGGCTTAAGGGTACTTAAGGAGCTCGGTCCATCTACCTTTTATTACATTAAACTCAAATATTCAAGACCCTTTTAGTTCTGTATTTATTGGTAAGCGAAAATATTTGAGCTGAATTCTCTCCACGCCAAACAATTTGGCGTTAGACAAACAGCGGGCTGCAGCACCTGAAGGAGCTGCTCTCCGGGAAAGTTCAAGGGAAAACTTTTGGCACCCAGCTGCCTTTTGGAGTACAGGGCTTCCACTTTCAGTGCAATCTCCAGCATGACTGCACAAGTTTTGAGAGGAGCCGGAGCATCTCCTGAGGTAGAAGTTGCAATTTACGCATACCGCCAGGAGCGGAAAAAACAATGCCAAGAAATCTGCAACATCAATCGGGAATGTTCTAGAGATTCGCGCAGGCAAAATAATTGAAATTTTGGCTACGGAATTAAAGAATTTCTTAAGCAATGATTCTCCAAGTAACTCAATGTAACTGCAGAGATACATTAGTTGTTTGCTTTGCAATTTAATGTTAATGAATTAATAAGTAATAAATATTTAATAGTAATAGTAAGTTTGAACAACCATACCAGATATAACTCTGGCGTCATTATGCTCATATATAATTTACAATTATGGTATGTTTGGTATAACGGTACAAGAATTAGATATCTGCGTCGTTCGTCGTCTGGTCTCGCACACAACCTTTTACGTCGGAGGTTGGATCGAAAGCTCCCTCGGCGCTCTCTCTCCGATCGGCAGACCGCTCTCGCTCTCAATTCGCTCTCCCTCGTTTTCTCTTTGCGTTTGCTCTCTTGTTTGGAATTCGCAGTGACGCGAATTCGCCCTTGCTCGTTTTGGTGTTTTGTCTAGGGATCGCAATTGGCAAAACCCAGCCCACATAAATATGAACAAAAAGCGAATGAAAAAGATTATTCGCATTGCTTGCTGCTTCTCCCAGTTAAGTCCTTCGACTCAACGCTTCATACTGAAAATGAAGGAGAGCAAAGGACCCCTTTCCAGCGGAAACCAAAGGAATTTTCTGATTAACTGTAGAAATTAAAGGTGTGAATGGGAAAATCTGAACTCTGGACTGGACTTTGTGTTTACGTTTGCTGGAAGGACTGCAAATACCTGAGAAAAAACGTTA